ATTCCTGTTGGCTGTAAAAGGGGACCCAAAGAGCGGTCCGTTTCCCTTCCCTCTCGCACCTGCTTTGTGTCAGAAAATACTTGGAGAGCAACGTAAGGCTGCATTAAAATAACTAATTAAAGACACGCCTCCTGCGGAAGAGGGTGCGGGGGGTGCATCCCATTTAATGCCAGCATTCTGGTCTCCCTGGCCTCTTGTAATTTATTCGGTTACAGATCTGCCTGCAGGGCAGCTCCCATTAGGCCGATGATGAAGTCTCCTGAGCAAAGCCTGACACCTCCCTCTAATAAAATCTAATACTCAGTTAAGTTGGCCTTTCTGAGGGCTTTCATATGAACACATTAATAGTGGGCGCCGGGTGAATTGCCAATCCACAGCTCGCTCCAAGGAAGTGTCCCGGGACGGTTTTGCTTTGTCAGAGGGAGGTTGCACCCATGTTTTGGAGGCTTTTCCTTCAACACCCTTGTGTTCTGCCATAAATCTTGTAGCCATTTAAGGATCTCGTAACACACACAAAGCTCCGGTGCTCAAAGAGTTTCCAGTGAAACGATTTAGACGTAATCCCTGACACAGATGATTTACGCTGAAGGTTCAGAATACTGCTGCTTTATTTATAACCCTCCCGGCCCAGTTAAAACAACCATTCAGGGATACTTGGGGGCTGTGTATGGGAGGGGGAGGCTCCTGACATTAGAGGGAAGAGAGAGAAAAAGTTGTCTCAAGTTTTTATGTGGCAGTAAAGGCTAATTTGAAAAGTCTGCATTGGGGATTGGATTCCTCCAGTTTTATGCCTTGCATGTGGAGGGGGGAGGAAGGAAGGCTAAAGACTCGGGATCTGATCCAAAGACCACTGAATAGTCAATGCGAGTCGTTGCACCCTTGCTCCTGTAGCCCTTATGCAGGTAAAACTCCCCCTAGTTAGAACGCGGGGTCCTGCTTCCACCCCCCAGGACTTATTACTTGGCTTCGGCGACCTTTTCCAAAGCACGTAATTTAGGCACTTTGTCCCCTTCCTTTCTCAGCCTAGACCCCGAGCCTCTTTGTCACAGTCTCGGGGCCGCATCCTGCGCTCCTTTCCCTCCCTTTGGGTCGGGTCCTAAATGCACTGAAGTAGTAAGGTAGCCAAGGTAAGGTAACCTCTTCGGAGGTTATTTAAAACATGTAGGGCTCTAGTGTCTAGATGGAGCTTGCTCCTTCGGCGCGTGCAGGGGACCGGACTTAAAGACCTCTCGAGGTTCCTTCCAGTTCTAATAGTCTATAATTCCATCCATTTTTAACCGGAACTCTGTCTGCAATGAATACCCTGGAGAGTCCCGCTTACAAAACCGTGGGAGAGGATGTCCCAACCTAAATCGTCCATTTCCCAAAACTGGGCAAGAGCTGGCAGGTCGGGCTCAAGGAAACCCATCTACTTTTTTAGAAATGTCAAACAGGCATTGCTGGGGAAGGGGCATGTTCTTTTATTTTTAAATAGAGAAGGAAATCTATTGCTTAGAAGTCTAGTCCTTTGTATCACCTAACGCGAAAGCAGGTTCGTTCCCTGCCCAAGGAAGAGAACAAATACCAGGGCAAACTGCAGAAGCATCACTGTGGAGGACAGGCCGTCCAAACAATCGCGGCTACTAAATCGCACAATGTCTTAGGGTGGCTCTTATGTTTGTCTCCATGACAGCACAGCTAACTAGTCAATTTCAGGAACCAGGAGTCAGACAAGCAACCTGTTCGGATGGAGTCAGGGTGAGGGATGCTATCCTTACTAGGGAATGATAATGGAGATGGGAGTAAATGAATTCAAATAGTAAATAAAATACTAGACTATTTCAGCCCTTCCCAGGCATCTTTTAGGTCCAGAGTCTCCAACCCTTCACTGTCGCTGACTACAAGTGCAGAATTTACTGCTCTGATTCTATTCTCCCACTGGATGTACATTCCTAGGAACTGGCTGGAGTCAGCACTGAATAAAAACGTCCGAGTAAAGGGAATTGGGCCCAAGCGCTAAGACCAAAATTATCTAAATATTATGTAAAATGTGGTGCTGTAAAGAGCAGAAGCGCTTAAGAAGGACGATTAGAGACCTGGATAACTCAAAGAGCAGGTTTTCGATTGTGACTTTTTGGTTCTCATTTTCAGCGTTGTATGCTACATATCTGGCTTTATCCCTCCCTCCCCCTTGAGATTTATGGGGTCGGGAAAATGAATAATAAAGACAACCTAAAGAGGAATTCTGATTATTTCTTTGATCATGACCCAGGACAGACGACCAGAGTGAAAAGTTACCTTTAAATAACTGTAAACACTGACAAACCCAGACAGAATTAAACAAAGTTGTTTTTTTAATTTAATTCGAAAGAGATAAGAAATAATAAATCTTCAATAAAATATATAAAATTGTACAAGACATCCCTTTCAAAGGGACTTTAATATAATGGGTGCGGAGAAGGGTCGGGGACTGAACTAAAGTGGAGGGCAATGCATCTTCGAGTAGATCAAAACTTTGTGGCTCTTTCCTCCGCCCCCATATGTTTTTTAAAATACATCCAGGACAAGTTTTGCCTTCTGCGATCTGCATCCTCTATAATAATTTCCCCACATAGTTTAGCGCTAGTAATAATAATAATAATAACCATAAACAATAATGATGTCAAGAAAAAGCCTCAGTTGTATCATGCCACTGGTTAAGAAGCAGAACTCCCCAGTGAAATCCAGGAAACAAGAGCATCATTTTGCAGAGCAGTGGCATTCTATTGTCCCATTTGCTTCTTTTGGGGGCTTGAATTTATTCGTGCTTTCAAAAAATGCTGGAGCAGGATTTACTATATTGGCATTTTATAAGGAGATTTTTAACACACAGCATTGCAAATAAAAACCAACTCTGCATTGTAGTTTGACAATCGTTGCACACACACTACTCTGGGGGGAAATAGCCCACCTATTTTATCCATATCTCCATAGCACGGGCTTCCGCCCAGCCCCCTTCAAATTGCATCACAGAGCCAAGCAGACCGACACCTGGCCATAGGTGAATTATTAAATGCAAAGCGGAAAGGGATGAAGGCGTTTGCCTACAGCCCTCTCCCCACAGTGCTTTGCAAAAAAAAAAAAAAATGTTTAAGCAACTTCTACAAATAAGGGCAATCCGATAATGGAGAGGGTCAAGTTATTATAGACTTCACCCATTTAGGGGCTCTGTCCTGCGCTCTGGATATGCTGCTTGTTGCATGAGTGCTGGAGATCCCTGTTTGAAAATGCAAAAACTTGCTGCCTTTGCCCTCAGTCTGACTCTACTGGGGTCTATTTCCTATTTACAGTGATCCTCGGCCTTTCAAGGTTTGTTTTAAAAACAAAACTCGATTACACCTTTAACTTCCCAAATATTAAGCGACAAGACTTAAGATTCAGTTCAGGGAAGGAGCCACTCCTACTTTAAAACAGGTCTTGGGTCACTTTAGGGGAAGAGGGCAGGGAAACCATGCTTTGAAAATACAGGATGTATTGGTTACCGATTCCTTTGTCTCGTGTGCAGTATATAAAGAGAATTATAGTTGTTTAATTGTATATGTTTTTATATTTTGTTTCGTTCAGAATTAGAGTCTGGGTGCTCGATCAAGCTGAGAGGAGACCCCGGCTGCTGTCCCAGCTTGTGCATACAGGACGCTTTACTTTCTAAGGCAAACTCCTATACAGTCCCATGACAGGCACACAGAGCCGGCAGGACCAAGGACCAGAACTGGTTTGCTAGTGCGTTCTCAGATTGGTACGATCCGCCAGGAAGTCTATATCGCCGCTGCTTTCCCTTCCACCTTCTTAAGATAAGTGGTACATGCTGTATCCGACAGGAGTAGCATAGAGTCCTACAGGTGGGATGGGAAGCACTGGTCTGTGAAAAGGATAAGATGTTCCATACAGGGAGGCCGCCTGGATGGGCGAGTTGATGGGGAAAGGTAGACTGAACCCAGAAGGTAACATGGGCTTTGCTGCCATTTTTAGCTTCTCTAGCTCTGCCTCCTGCAGTCTCTTGGCTTTGGCTCTCCGGTTCTGGAACCAGATTTTGACCTGGGTCTCTGTGAGGTTGAGGGAGCTGGAGAATTCTGCTCGCTCTGCGATGGACAGGTATTGTTTCTGGCGGAATTTGCGCTCCAAAGCCAGCAGCTGGGAAGTGGTGAAAGGAGTTCTGGGCTTCCTATTAGTCTTGTGCTTCCTCAGCGTGCAGGCTGTGGGACTCAGATGTCCTGGAAAGAAAGAAATGGCCAGTTAACAATAAAGGAGGAGGATGGACGCTAAAGAAAAAAAAAGGGGGGGGGGGACGAAGCTTGAGAATAGGTTTGGGTTTTGTTCCATTCACCCCCCCTCCTAGAGATAATCTCAAAATATGAAGTACTACGAATTTATACACATGACTTATGAACAGTACTTGAACTCATTGGGGTCTGGGTCGTAGGTTTGTTTACACGGCGCCAACTCTAAGGCACCAGTAGAGAAATCCCGGCCCCACTGAAGTCAACGGAGCAGAGATCCGCTTTCCCCTATAAGCCTGCAAGATCAGCAAAAAGGAAACGGAGTACGGAGCACATAAGAGCCTATCACAGGGTAAGATCATATCAAGGTAGAACACAGCGCAAAGGTTTTAACAGCTTCGGTGAGCAAGACTTCCCAGGACCCTCCGTGCGTGCAACAAAGTGTAAGGTGTTATAAAAGAAATAAGTTCCCAGAAGTAAAATGTCTGGCACGGGACAGAAATCTATTATCATCAACGCTCCTGTCATTTTTCAGCTGGGAATAACATCTTAGGCCAAATCTTGCCGTTCTAGTAGGCGTTTTGCCTGGCAGCTATATAATGGGATCTGATAAAATCCTCTTTATTTCCTGATTTCTATACCTGTTTCTACTGATATCTGGGGCGAGGATCGAAGAGTTTTTAATCACCTTTTCATTTAGATTCTTCCTAGCCGCGTTCACTCCGCACTCTCCCCCAACAAACAATGGAAGAGAAGCAACGGAAGGAAAGGGAGCCAGTCCTTTTTCAACATGTGGCTTTTATGACATATGCTAATGATGCGGCATCTCTGGCCAATACAAGATGTGGAATTTGTTACCTATCGTGTTCCATTACAAACCCGGCCACGTCGTTTACACTATTCACATCACGGAGGATCACCGATTTTTCTTAGAACACTCTGCATTTCATTAACAATATTGTGGGTTGAAAAGAGTGACTAAAATGTGAGCAACTTGAAAACCGCGGACGAAGTGTGTAACGGCATCTCTGGCCAATACAAGATGTGGAATTTGTTACCTATCGTGTTCCATTACAAACCCGGCCACGTCGTTTACACTATTCACATCACGGAGGATCACCGATTTTTCTTAGAACACTCTGCATTTCATTAACAATATTGTGGGTTGAAAAGAGTGACTAAAATGTGAGCAACTTGAAAACCGCGGACGAAGTGTGTAACAGGCAATTCTTGTTCTTCGCTGCGATATCGGGAATGAGAACCTGCCCTCCATGGCCGGTGCATTTCTCACAGGTTTTGGGGCCAACGCCTTTGTCAGGACTTGAGCGCTGTGGCCAGATTTTCTTTTTCCTCGTTCAACATTTTTCACGGTAGCGTTTCAATGTTAAAGGAGCCTGTGCAAAGAGTTTTGCATGTGCGTATGCAAAAGAACGCCCCGAACTGTTTAACGTTTGAAAAGGAAACATTAAAGGAAGGAAGCATTGCCAAAAATAAAAGCAACCCTTAAATTCTCAATCCCTATTGTGTCTGCTAGTAGAGTAGTTTCTAATGCAAAACAACTTCTGGTTAATACACTCAGATCATATTAATACCTATGCAGCCAGTTTTAATATTTCGGTGCAGTCCTAAAACAACACAGTAAAAAGGAGTCACTACCCTTAGAACACTCCATTATGGCTCATTTTCAAATGAAATTATTATTACATGCTCCTAAGGATTTGCTACGTAGAAAAGGTGTCTAATAAAGGCATAATAGACAGGGTGCTTGTGATTTCGCCCTCCTTGAAAAAATGTGTGAAGTCTCGGAGGGTGGACGAAGGGTTTATCTTGAAATGGAAACCCCACAAAACGAGGTCGTTTTATTCCGTTGAAATCAAAAGCAAATCTTCAAAAGGAATCAAGAACTCCCCCAGCACGTCAAGATTTCTGCCGCGTGTAGGGGGAGGAACTGTTGATCTCATATAAATGCTTATTTTTTAAATAAAATCTCAATCAAAGGTTTCCTGCTAAATACCTTCAAACTTCAACCTATTTATCTGTCACCATCCTTTTCCTTCAGTGGAGAGTGGTGGTAATAAGTAGAGCGCATCTCACTGTCTTTACGGTGGAGTCTATGATATTTGGTGAATTGGCTTATTTTAAAGGCATCACCTGTGCTTTTCATTAGACTTCCGGGCACATATTTGACAGAGTCATCCCCTCACAAACACCTCCTCCCTCTCCCCCCCGGTGCATAATGCTACCGATGTCACAGCAACCGACCATGTAGTTAAAGTTACTGCTCTCTGGACCCTATGATCACTCCAAACACAACTTTTTAAAGAACCTATTTTAAATGCCTAGCGTGTGTAGGGAGACGCTCTATCATCTTTTGTAAAAAACCCAAATAAAGTCACCGACCTAAAGACAACCTAAGACTTATCCAGCGTTGGGAGTCAATAGCTATTTGACAAGGATAACAGAGATTGGAGAGGAAGGGAACGCTCACTAATAAGGGTAACGATCTCCAATCATTATTATGTCTTAAGCCTTATTTTGCCAAAACCTTGGGCCAGATAACTAGGACCCTCGTGCAGGCAAAATATCCACCGAAACAGTGAATTCCGCGAAGAACTATGGATACTTCTAAATTCCAGTGTGCACTTTCTGTGACCTTTTAATTTATAGAATATTGTGAATTTTGAATTATAGACAATTTAATGGAGCGAGGAAAAAAAAGCTGGGAGCTCAGTGAATCTATCTATGATTGCGGAAGAGAAATATTAAGTAGTGTCTGGTCAAAAATGTTAGGCCTTGTCGATTTCTGAGTCATAATTTGTTAGAAGCTATGTACTATAACAAGTAAAGTATAGAAGAGAAATAAAAAAGCGTTGCTAGGAGTTTTGTGTAAGGTATTTTCATACTTTTCCTTACCAAACCTGGGGTGCATAGATACTGGAAGATTTCTCCACAAGAATGAAGAAAGATTATTAGCTTTTTTCCTTTTACACTGTTTTTCTGTTGTGTCACAGCCTCTTCAGAACGTCCCAAATATCAGATTAATTTGGGGAAAATCAAAGAAAATTGAAGATCTCGAAAATCAAACTGTTCTGGAGAAGTTAAAATGATAGCTGTGCTGACGCTTTCTTTTCGGTTATGCCAGATTAGAAATGCAACTCCTCCAAAACTGATTAAGCAGAGAATATAGGTAGATGAAGCGGTTATTTGCTTAAAGTGAAGCAGAACATTTTAATGTTTAACTCGAGCGAGGGATGCACATAGACACTTTGATCGATTTGTTATCCCATTGCCTGCTCTCTAGGTGGGAATGTTTGGAGCTACCTGGACATTTTAAATATATATATTTTCATACTAGGTAAACTACATTCCTGAATTGTCAAAGGGACCGAAACCCTAACTCGTGAAAGCCGTGACGCGAGCTAAGTGGGCTAGCTGCGAAGTGCAATGGCGAAAAACAGGGATCCTCTATCGTACAGCAACAGACTGAATTCCTCTCTGCAGAACTTGCCCCACGCGTTACCACGCTGGATTCTGTGTCACGGGGGGTGGAGACGCGCCTAGAGAGGCTGGGGGAGCGGATCCCCATTTCGGATTATTCTGAAACAGTCCCACACTTCGGACACGGAGCCGAGCCAGCTCGGCTGGACCCTCGCAGTGTCGGAAGAAGGCTGGGAGGAGCGTCTGAGGAGCAGGTCTGACGCCCAGCAATGCTAGCTCACACTGCGAGGGACGGTGCGCAATGCTCTCTCCAGCCCCGTGTGCCATCGCGTGCTAAACTCTCCACCAAGTGCGCGGCATCTGGGAAAGCGGGTACAATTGACGTGGGACCCTGGACCGTCACTTCTACAGGTTAAAAAAAAGCGGCTAGCCACCCTCCTTCCAAATCCCGCAGCTAACTGGCTCGTTCTGGGACTTGCAGGACTAGAATACATCAGGCAATAGCAAAGGCAGATTCTCAAAGGCAGAATCGGGCCCCGCCCTGAAGGCTACGCTGTACGATACAGCCCCTTCTCCCACACTGCACGACGCACCCCCGATCTGTTCTGTTTAGCCCAGCTAGGGTCAGAGCGCCCCGGGCAGCACTCACTTGGTGGAGGGGAATATCTCCCGGCCTCTTGAATCCAGGAGCTGCCGTCTTCGGAGTTCTCCGATTTGACTGACGAGGTCTCGAAGGTTTTTGTAAGCCCCCCGGGGCTGTGAGCTTCTCTGGAGCCGTGCCCTGGCAGCGGCAGGTTCCTGGAAGTGCCCACGCCAGCTCCTTCCATCCCTCCCCCGCTGGGGGCGAGGGGCACCTCTTTGGGGGGCTTTTTGTCAGACATGAGCGCTTCCACGCTGAAAGGCAAACTGGAGACTTTGATTTTGTGATGATCCCCGGCACCAGCTGCTGGGCCCTCTTCATCCGAGGAGAAAACCTCCTTCGTCTTAGAGGGAGAGGACATCGCTGCGCACCCCGCCCCCCCCCGATCTCAGTGCACTGTGCCTGGCACACACAAACACACAAGCACACCCCTGCGTCTCTGTCCCTCCGACTCCGTGCGGCTCCGGCTACTCACTGCTCAGGGACCCGCCGGCTCCAGCCACTCAGGAACTTTTTTTCCTCCTGCTTCTTTTTTTGGGTGCTCAGTTGTTGTTTCCTCCTTTGGGAAGTCGAGTCAACCCATCCGGGCCAATCAGAGCAGTCTTTGAGGATGACGCGAAGGTTTGATTCTTGTGATTGGTTCTGCGCGCTTCCCCCTCCCTTTAAAAAATAAATTAGAAGTTAATGATATGGGCTGCAAACGGAGCTGTGTTATTAAAGAGCCTTCCAGGGCTACAATAATTATGCTAAAGCTGAACAAGTCACTGGCCTAATTAAGGCAGGTTAAAGGAAGAGGATTCTAAAATTACAGATTTTTCTCTTTACGCCCCCCCCCCTTCAGACATTTCTTTTCTCTAGCTTGTGTCATAATTGTCACTCCCTTTCAATCTCTCCGCACGTGTTTTTATCGGACACGGAAGCAGGTGAGATCTGGACACCTACGGTCACCACCACGTTTACCTGGGCCCTTTTACTGGGGCCCGGGCACCAGCGATCATTCTCTGGATTATTGTTTGTGAATTTCTATTTTACTGTTGTCACACTCACGCGTGGAACTAGGATAAGCCGCACGTGTCTCGCCCCTTTTTGCTGCTCCACCAGCACCTATAAAAGCGAGGGAATATGCGTTGGAAAACTAAAAGAATGAAATGATTTGCAAATACGCGCAGTTCAGTTGAGTTCCAGTTCCGGTGTGGTTCGAAATGGTGACTATTTGTTCAGTTGGGGGAATTGTAGTGTTCCCTCGTAGCTCAGAGGGGGGAATTCCGTATAGCTTGGCTAGCACAACGACATTATATACTCTGTATAGCTGCAACTTTTTCAAAGCACATGCGCTTTTGATCTATTCAAAGTGTAAAGATGCTCGGCAGCTAAAACTGCCTTACAAAGGGCGAATTTGTAATGATTATTTTCTCACATAGGTCGTATACTCACAATAATGAATAAATATGGTTCTAATCAGCATGGGGCATGATTCTGCAGTCCTCAGTTTGCAAACATATCGACGTAGGAGTATGTATTTTTAAAAAGGGTTCTCCCTCTTTTTGACTTCTTCACTGTGAAAAAGGTGTGTTAAGGAAAAGCATTTCTAATCACCGCGGGGGTAACAAGTTTAATTTCATCGTGACAAATATTTAATTAAGTGCTGGTAATTAAAAGCTAATAAAGCGCTCCGAAAAAGTTGAAGCTTAAAATATATGCGAGTGCAGTCAAATCTGACATAAACCCTGCAAAAGCTACGGTTCTAACAATGTGCTCCTTTGCTCGCCCACACTTCCACTGACTTCAGAGGGAGCATAGGCAGGGATGGGGGGGGGGGGGGGATCATCAGGTGAT